TGCGAAAACAGAACACTTTTGACTTTAAAAAAGTGGAAAGCTCATAAAAATCAATAAGACCTTTTCCAAACGACACGGAGAAATCAGCTTTTGATCTGCATACGCTTGTCGGTAGATAGAATGAAACCCTGGAATAGGTGCATTTAGCATTTATCCAGATGCCTACTAATGATATCACGAAGGGCATGGTCGAGAGCTTCATTGACGCCGCGCAGTCCACTGACAACCGAATCGGACCATTCGAAGTATTCTTTTACTCTTGCTGCATCCCATCCCAGCGGCGTTCCACGCTCCAAATCCCGCAGATTGTAAAGCTTATCAGCCAGATGGACCAGTTTCGCCTGAAAAAAGTTTTGTCTAATTTGGTGCGGCGAGCGCGGGTTACTGAAACCTTTCTTTTGCTGCTTTAATTTTCTATTAATTCAAAACCGAAATTAGAAATTGTTTCACTAAAAAACAGTGATTTCCTGTCGAAGCTGGAGAGCGCTAACTCAAGATTTAACACATTTCTCCCATGTTTCGCCTTCCAGTCTCCTAAAGCAACATTGAAAAATTGCGTTAGTAATGCTTTAGTAGACGCAACATTTAGAGGAAGGGAATTAACGGGGCGAAGCAAAGAAAAAGAAATCTGAACAGAAATGTTTCGGCCCATCGATTTTTGCAAAATTCTTTTCAGAATCACATTAGGACCTTATCAGTACAAAGGTTGTGACGAAATAAGTTAAAAGAAATTAAAAATAGGAAGAGGAAAAAATTGAGGGATGTCAAAAGAACGAATCGTGACAAGTTTTAAAGAAATATTTAAAGAAATATTTATTCCAAGTACAAATTTCTTTTAACTACAATCTGGTTGTTCCCGCCTTAAACTTGGTTCTTCTGTTAAATCGAATTGGTGGGATATGGTCCAGTTTTATGCTAATGGCCTAGAGTTCGACTGTGCTGTAAAGGAAAGAAAGTCTTAGCACCAAGGAAACGAAGATGAACTTGAGTCATGAGAGCTCAGTTCATCTTCCTCCATCTCCTTCCACAATATAACCCAGGCAAAAACGCACCAGGCTCTCCGGTGCGATCATGCGTTTTTGCACTAAACTAGCAGATCGCTATTAGCGGGAGTGATCCCTACGCTGTAGCCTAACACTTGGGCTCACATTTGCCGCGCTTTGATCCTCTCCGGCATGCAGGAGGAAGGGAGTCAGCTGGGATGAAGGTGGTGCATTATAGAGCCGCACGGACATCCAGGTGCATGATTCCGGTTTTTTGCATGAAGTTCGGTCGTTTTTTCGGTAGACGCTCGCTTTGCGAAAAAATGACAAATGCAAATTTTTTTAAAAAATGCAATTTTCCTGTCCGCTAATAAGTGGAAGTATTGCTTGAGCAGTTGTTTGTCAAAAAATCCATGTCTGCAAATTAACTAATATTCATTTACATATACGACTGAGGTTCGGGTCTGGGTTGCGATGGATTTCTTAACGATTTTTGGGTTGAAGAGCTACTTGAGGCTGTGGTTGGAGTGCTCGACAGCTGAGTTTAAAATCTTTAGCTCGCACGTGCACAGATAATATCCCTGCAAAGTTTCAAGTTTCTACCTTGCCTGGTTCGCAAAATCATTTCTCGCCAACATATTTTTTTGGGAGGCCCGTACGCGAGGTCTAGGCGCGTGTGGAGGAATATCTTGAAACGGAAGGATGACACACCGGGTAGGAACATATACCCGCAGTTTCAGCCTCCCAGCTTTCCTGGTTGCTGAGACGAAGGTGGGTGACAAAATGCACTCGCTTCTGAACGCACACACAGACAGCCTCTCGACAATATGCGTTTTTGCTAGCAGCACCGCTGCTACAATGCTGCACAGCAAAAACGCATAATAATGTGACCAGGAATGAAACTGGCTATTGTTTTTTTGTGACCCACTTTTTTTCGTGAGTGTTGTGCGGCGGCAGCTTGGAGCTGTTGTCGCTCCTGTCCCCCGCCCTTGTGTATTGCGCGTGCTGTGTGGCAGCGGCTTTCAGCGGCTTCCCGATTTGTTTCTGTTTGTGTGCTTTTTTAAAGCACTGTTTGTTGATTTGCTTGAGTGTTTACCACACCCACACAGGAGCGCCTTCCAACCGCGCCCTCCATCAATCCTCCGCGCTTTATAACCGCGCCAGTTGGGCAACCAATCCCACCATAATTCGTTCATTTGTTTCGATGGTAAACTGATGTTAGCCAATGCTGTGAACTGAGACCGCTAGTGCTTGCTTGTAAGTTCGGAAGAAAGAACCACTGACAGCCTTGCTCATCGGGGAGTTAAAAGATCCAGGCCCT